TTATGTTTCCATGATGTTAAAGGTTTACACATAGATTTCACACGTGCGCGCAGAAATCCTAAAACCAGGAGCAGTAATACACTACACTGCTACGAATACTAATAAATCCAGTTGTATCTCAAAACTCAGTATTGTATCAATACAAGTAAAGACTACACTAAGTCAGCTCTTGAAAAAAGCTTCAGGTACATTTGTGGAATTCCTAAATTGCTCAGTTTATAATATTTCAGTATTTTAAACTCTTCTAAGAGATGAGATAGAAGATTTTAACCCTTGATGGTCATTTAGGAAAGAGATGCTGTATATGAGCCCTAATACTTCCAGATGACTCAATCCCGTGTTCCAGTTTAAGGAACATTTCCCCTAAGAAAAAAAAGACTTATTTGCTTTCTGGCCATGCAGCACTTACAAATGTCATGACTGCAGCATCTCCGTAGCAGACGCCACTGTCAGGCTTTCATGTGAGTTTTTATTCTTTGAAGAATAAAACAGAAGGGTAGGTAGGAAAGATAAAAACTGGATGGATAAGTGATAGAGCAAAATTACCTGAAACCATCTGAGAACAAAAATTTATACCAATGATAAATAAGCAAACATGAGTGAACTTGAAAGTCCAGATGGAGATGAAACATCCGCACTAGTAAAGCAGAACCAACTGATCTGTGTTCTTAGTACAGTATTTCTTCTACAACAATTCCAATGGAAGCAACAAAATTGTACTTTTGGCAAGTCTGCCAAAAGGTAAATCATACCTGATTAGGTTTGATATTCTGTAAAGTGACAGTAACATTTGCCTTCAAGTTGCTAATTGTGAGGTTAGCAACACTTGAAGATATAACATTGCTGATTAAAGATGCATTCTTCAAGGACAGATCCTGGAATGACAAAAAAGAATCAGATCATAAAATCTTAAAGGAGACCATAGAAGAGTACAGCACCCACAGGCTCAGTTATTATGGTAAGTGAGCACTGAATGAAAACAATTACTTCTTAAATCAGGAAGATTTGAAACTTGTTTTGTGGGCAAAAAGTCCATTCATATTTTATTTTGCTCTAGGCTTGAGTTTAAAACCCTTATGAACAGAGGATCAGAAAGGTACCTGGAACACAGTGGTCTTTTTAAAGAAGTTGAATATAATTCTAGAAGCCAAGTCAAGCTCTTGAGGGGGTAAATTCGTCAGCAATGATGTAGGAAGTGTAATTGATCCGAGATTATTTAAATCATGAATTGCATTAATGCCTAAAGAGATCTGAAAAATAAATGCAAGGATTATCCTTCATTTCAGTCACTAAAGAAAAGTTAAATTATGACTTATTCTCAGTTTAGAACTTTAAAACACATCTCTCTGTAATCACTATTAGGAACTCATTGCTGCTCTCTCATTCCTCTCCTGCTCCAATGAATAGATAGCATCTGCAGACCTGAAAAGGATGCAACTAATTTCAAGTCTGCCTACCATTGAAAATATGCTGGCTTTACCCTTTTGCTTACAGGACAGAACACACCACTGTGGTGGATCTGAAAAAAGTCATGAGCAACAACCTAGGTAGGTCTGTGTAACTGTGTAGGGAGATTAACATTTCACAGCATGGAAGCCTGCAAAAGCAAAAAATTTTTATACCCCATACAAAGTATGTCAGAATTCAGAAAAAAAGTAAAAAGCCATTATTTGTCAATAGATTTTAAAATACAGCAGGTTAAGCAGACTCTAAAAACATAAACCCTAACTTTACGATCTGGCAAAAATGACAAAAATAAACTGGATAAGCTACAATTCAGATATCTCAAGAGCTTAGTGATCTAACATTATTAAAAAAAGATCTGAACTTTCACCCAGTTTTCTGTGCTGTACTTATAGGACAGAGAGCTTTGTTTAGTACAAAATCTCAAACATTTTCTTGTTACACGTTAGTCACTTTACATACAAATATCATAATCTAAGAATTCCTAAGAGATGTAAAATATCAGCAGAACTGAAGACAGAAATTATCTGTGTATTCAAAGATACATCTGTCTGTAATAGGAATAACAGTGTGAGTTCCCCACAGTGCCCTAACAATATGATTTAACTCTTCTGTTTAGACCAGTGGTCTCCAAACATTTTTGATCATGCACCCCCTAAAATTTTTTTGAGTGTGCACCCCAAAATATATCTATTTATAACTTATATGCAGGTACTGTGGTACTAATGTATTATGCATGTTATAAAACACACAGAAGAATAGAAATTTTAAACAGATGAGATAAACATTAAACATTTTTTTAGAAAATATATTATTTATTTATTAATCATATAAAAAATATTTTCTTCCCACACCCCAGTGGACTGCCGGGTGCATGCCCTGGCGTAATCAGATCCCACTTTGGAGACCACTGGCTTAGACAGCCACCAAAGAAACACCAAATCAATTCCACAAAAGCATTCCTGTTGCTCTGGTTTGAACTTGATGATACTTGTTGAAAATTTTCTGAATTTCATTGCTGGTACCATGAGATTTCCAGAAGATTGTTACTCAGCAAATATCTGGTTTTCAGCACTACCACCTCCTAGTCACCTCGCATTCATGTACCACATATTGCTAAGAAAATACAAAAGAACTCAAATGTTAACATTTCATATCATTTTCAGTATCACAGAACAGTTCCAGTACTACTTATGGCTCATTCTACATTAAACTATTTCCTTCTCTGAGAGGACAGAATGTGCCAAAATTTATCTAGAACTTTCCATCTCTCCTTGCTTAAGCCTCCAAGGCTGGTATTGTCCAAATTATTTTCTTAATCAGGAGGAAGGTTTTGAGTGAGACAAAGTGGATCCAAACTTTCTAAGCACTTCTTTCTTGGCGAGACCAACTAGACACGAGTGACAAAATGTATGAATGTCACTATCCAAGCAACATAACAGTTCTTTCCTGGAACCCTCTTCAGTTAATCTCCTTCTAATAGATGAAGCCATCTGACAACACTCCTTGACAAATTTCAGCACTGTCTGGGTGGGTAATTAAGTGACTCACGATTCAGGGTTTTTAAGGCAAAGTTACTCCACCAAGCACTCTGTCCATTATGGTGTTCTGGCTGCACCCTCTCTAGCAACTTACTAGTTGAATGCCAGCTTCTGCTAAGCCTGTTGCTTATTTACACTTATTTACACAATAGAAAATGAAAGGAAACCTATGGAGGGCTTCAAAACCAAAGTATTTTCTCTCTGAAGCTAACACGAACAAAAGATCCTGAAACTGTGACATAAAAACAGAACAAACTCATGTTACATATAAATATAAAAATGTCAATACTTAAAAATAAATGTTTGAGAATTTTTAAGTATTTAGAACCATCAGTGTTTAACCTGGAGATCAGCCGAGTCCTGGACAGCAAAAGACATTTGGTTGGAGCGGATGCTATTGGTTTTGACAACTGCCAGAGCCAAGGAAGGGGAGGCAAAATCAGCAGACATGGCTGAAAAGTTCAGTTTTAAGCCAATATAATCCACCAGCTTTATAATTCTGTTAAGAAAAAGAGAAACTTAGTATTACCAAGCACAGACACCCAAAATTCTCAGGCAAGTTGTGGTTATGTAGCAGCAATCCAAGTGTAGTGTAAAATACAGCTGACTCTGCTTACTTACTGTGGTGTCAAGACAAAAATATACACTGTTTTTCATAGCATTAGATTATGGTAGAGCTGGTAACACTAGAGTGATAGTCCTTTGGTTTTGTGTAAGTACATTAAAGAACAAGAAATACTCTTTTGGATTATGATTATGAAAAAATGAAACTTGTTGAAGCCTATTTATCAAGACAGTCAATACAACACACCTTTAATCTATTGTCAGAATGACCTACCTGTTGGAAATTTGGGGTGGTAATGGTGGAGAAGCAGTCAGGACTTTGCTAACCTCACTAACCATCCTTTCTACATCTTTTGGCTCTACTTTTCCAGCTGCTAAATCATTTTCTATTTTGGACACAATTTGCTCAGCTGTGGTGATATTAATGGTGGTGTATACAGAAGTTGTGTATGTGGTAGATGATAGGATCTTTCCTGTGACAAAAGAAAAGTTGTGCGTTTATTTAACCACTGTGTTCAACAAATGAAGCAAGCTTTGAGAAGCAGAAAAATTAAGCAGTTTTCTTGATCAACAAACCTTATCACAACTTGTAAGGTCTCTCAACATGTTATGTGAGACAGAATTCCTTTTTCTCCCTATCAGCTACTTTGCAGATAGCAATACTTTAAATCTTATGAAAACACAAAGCAAGGCTTCAGATGGCCAGCATTTATTCCACTTTTTATTGATTAGAAAATTCCTCACATCAGACCATTAGTGATGTTAAATAATCTATTATTTTTGATTTTTAGCCACTGGATGCCTGAAAGTAGAATAAAATCAAGATAAGCTCAGCAATTTGAAAAGAAGCTTGTACAGATGCATACAATTTTCATAGGAAAATACATAGCCACTAAGAATATTCCTAATCAATAACAATATTTTAAGGAAGATCCAACATTGATTTGCAATATTTTGAATACTAGCTTAGTTATAAAAAAAAAAGCTACCTGGCTCTGTGACTTAATTTTTTCTGCAAAAGGTGCCTGTTAGGAACTTAACATCATACCTATCTATCACAGTTACCAACCAGTTTGTAGGGTGAGGTATCACTCATCCTGGCCAAAGAAATCAGAATGTATTTTAAAATAAGTATACACCTCGTGACAGTTCTCAGATTTTTCACAGTAATTGAAAAGTCACACGTAAAATCTTGTTTAATAAAGTTTAAAAGCAAATTCAGTATATGACATTCAAGATTGAAAAAAAAAAAATACTCATTTTACTTGTCATATTTACCTGTGCTCCCATTAGGCAGGCTACCATGGCCACCAGCAGTAGCATGAGGATGAGGAGCTGAGACAGAATGGTTGATAGGACTAACAGTGGGGGTCAAAGTTATTGAGAAAGGAGTACGGGGAGGAATAGGTGGTGCAGTAATGTTTTTGTTACCAGAAATAGGTTGGGTCGAATTTGTAGCAGGAGGAATTTGTGCAGCAGATTTGGTGGTAGTCTCAAAGTGGGGAATTGCTGTTGGAGGTTTGAGGGAAAGCTCAGAAAAGGAAACTGCAGAATGTTTAGTGAAACCTACAGAAGGAGAAGTTATTGTAACAGGCTTGGTAAGATATGCAGCATCAGATTTAACTGAGAAAGCAGCATTAGTGACAGACTTTGCTGCAGATGTGGAAATAGTGACAGATTTATTAGAAGCTCTGGAAGGAAAAGTTGGCATGGTGGGTTGAGCAAGAGACTCAGAAGAGGAAAATGTAGTGGTAACACTGGTGGAAGACACAGATGTTTCAGTAGTAGGTATGGGAGAAGTTTCAGAGAGAGGATTTGTAGTGGGAGATGTGGAGTGTGATTCTGTGATTCTGTGATTCTGTGAGGGAGTTCTAGAAAAAGGTTTTTCTGTGAATGGTGTGATCAGTGGTCTGATTGTGGGGCTTTGTTTGGTAGAAAGCATAGTGGGAGAAATAAAAGTATTAGATTTGGGGGAAGTCTTTTTAGGGAGAGAAGGAAAACGAGGAAAAGGAATCCATATAGAATGCGGTGGCACTTCTATAGTACTGTAAAAGAAAAAAAAAGGCAGACATATGCATGTTAAATTTAACATTGTTTATATTTTAAAGAACGAGTTATAACAGAGGAATATATCTGAATGATATGGACATATTACGAATAATGTATATTTTAAAATCCATCAGATTGGATGTTTCATGCTGTAGTAACAAATATGAATTCTATAACATTTTGAATGTTCTTACATTCTATCTTGCTCTAGTTGTTAACTAGGAAGTCCATAAATACTACTACTGCCTTTGCTGCCTATTCTGGAGGTGACCTGATGACACAAAAGCTACCTGCATCAGGGGGAACAAAAAGGGGAAAAAAGGACACAAAAAAGGAAAGAAAAAAAACAAAGAGAGGAGAGGAGAGGAGAGGAGAGGAGAGGAAGAGGAGAGGGAGAGGAGCGGGG